GAGGCCACAGGGTGCTACCGACGGCGGCTCCTGGGCGAGTGAACCCATCCTGGGTGTGTGGCCCCATTAGGAGAAGGAATTCAGAAGGCGCAGCCTTGTCCCCGTCCCCACCCAGCTTTTGGGGCGCAAGCTTTTGGCAGGCCAGGGTCCCACCTGTGGGCTGGCGCCGCTGGTGGTAGATGTGCAGGGCTCCCCCCTTGTCCACCCGCGTCACCACCTGGTACTCGGTGCTGTTGAAGCGGTTGACCCGGATGACGCTGGTTTTCTGCTGGGCGTTGGCGTTGTCAGAGTTGGTGGCGTAGAGGTAGTTCTCGAAGACGGTCAGCCCGTAGAGGTGTTCAATCTGGAAGGCACCGCACAGGCGTCCACGAGGAATTTAAGAGAGGACGTGAGAACCCCGGCTCCGAGGCGTGCGAAGCCCCTGATCCTTGCCCTTGATCCTGCCCTACGGCTCTCGCCCCCAGCTCATACAGGGCACAAAACCGGGCTTGGCAGGCTGGTGCAGGACTGGGTGGCGTTCAGCAGCTCGCTTGGGCTTTTTTCTCCTCTCCTAGGGCTTTTCCTTCCGTCATTTGACTTTTTCCTCCTCTCCTTGGGCTTTTTCCTCCCCTAATTTAACTTTTTCCTCCCCTAATTTGACTTTTTCCTCCTCTCCTAGGGCTTTTTCCTCCCCTAATTTGACTTTTTCCTCTTCTCCTTCAGCTTTTCCTCCCCTCCTTCCATTTCCCCTCCCGCAGTGCAATTCCCTCACCATTTAATTTGATTTCCTCCTCCTTCCATCCCATTTTCCCCTTTAATTTTATTTTCCCCCATTTCATCCCCTCATTAAGCTTTTCTTTGCCAGACCAGCAAAGCCAAGCCTGCAGACCAGCGACCCAGAGCAAGCTAAGCTCAGACGCACCCCTGGAGCCCAGCTTCCCCCCGGCCCCACTCACCAGGATGCCCTGGATGATGGTGTGCCTGTTCTTGCCTTCGTAGTCCACCACCTCGATGTAGTCCAGGTAGGCGTCAGCCCAGTACACCAGCCGGTTCACCAAGTCCAAGGTGATGCCGTGGGGGAAGACGATCTTGCTGTCCACCAGCTTGGTGCGGTTCTGCCCGTCCATGTCGCAGCGCTCCACCTTGGGGATCTGCCCGTAGTCGGTGAAGAACACTTTGCTGCGTGGGAAAGGCAAAGATGGGAGCTCGGGGTCTGGATGTCACGTCCGACACAGGGGGAGGACACGGACACACAGACAGCGCGTGCTCACGCCTCACAGAATCACAGAATCCCAGAATGGCAAGGGTTGGCAGGGCCCTCGGGAGCTCACCCAGTGCCACCCCCCTGCCCAAGCAGGCTCACCCAGAGCAGGGGGCACAGGACAGCGGCCAGGCGGGGGTTGAAGATCTCCAGAGAAGGAGACTCCACAGCCCCCCTGGGCAGCCTGGGCCAGGGCTCGGGCACCCTCACAGTCAACAAGTTCTTCCTCCCGTCCAACTGGAACCTTTTGTGCTTCAGTTTGTGCCCATGGCCCCTTGTCCTGGCGCTGGGCACCACTGGGAAGAGTCTGGCTCCGTCCTCATGACCCCCACCCTTGAGATATTTGTACGTGGTGATGAGATGCCCTCTCAGCCTTCTCTTCTCCAGGCTGAACAAGCCCAGCTCCCTCAGCCTTTCCTCCTAGGGGAGATGCTCCAGTCCCCCCATCATCCTTGTTGCCCTCCTCTG